GCGCTCTCCGTCATCTATCTCGAAAACGGTTCACCGTATGAAAAATTTTTTTAAACAAAATTTTTAGAGAATTTTGTATTCTACAATATTGATAATAAATACAAATAGCAAAAAACCCATAAAAAATGAGATATTTACAAAAAAAGCGCAAAAAACCGATTTTTGTGACCTTTGACCTTGAAATTTAATAGATGCGTACACCCTACTATATGTAGGTTTTGAGACAACTTTTAGGGTGTCAATATACAAGTATTTACAGACTTACAGCTGGGTATCTCGAATTCCGAGGTGAACTTACTATAATAATTGGACTAATGAGAATTCGGCATCTGTCTTCCCCGTGAGAGGCGCGGGTTCGAATCTGGGCGGGGACTAAATTAAATACTTTCTTTTTCATGTTTATTTTATTTAAAAAATTAGTAAAAGTCATAATCTATTTTAATATTAGTTATTTTGTCTTAATAAGCTAAAATATTTTTTAAATTTGTAGATTATCGTTAGTCAGTCGTAAAAAAATATACTATACAACTCGAGTGGATTATTCATATCCACTCTTATTGCATAAACCACTATTTGCGTGCTGTTTTCGATCAGCCGATACCTCAAATTCGTAAAAGCCGCGCCTTTCCACCAAAATACCTTACCGTGACATAGTTTCAATAAACGTATTATGATACCTTCTTTTTATAGTTTATAGCTTCTGTCAAAACTCGAATTGGAAATCAAATATAAGCTTTTGAAGCTCAATTTTATTGGAAACTAGCTGTAGGTATTGGCAACTTTCTCAGTTTTGCGGATGTCATCTTTATTATTTAAATCTTATCAATAGACATAAGTATAGTAATTTATTCATAGTACCTAAGTTGTTCAATAATTGACTAGTTATTCTGGTTGCAGAATGTTTGTTTAAGCTGCTTAGTTTTTCAATTGTTCAAATTCATTTAAAAGAAATCACTATATCACTAGATTCTTTTATATATTTTTGAGGTAATTAATTGTATAGTTTGGAGAACTTAAGTCAATTTTGGATTGAAACATTTTATTTATATTTTAAGAGTTCACTCGGAGGGTTCACCTTTAGGATTTCAACTACAGGTTTTTTCTCCCCGTGAGTTTAACCGCTGGAACACAGGTTTATCAGAACATCAGAACATATATTCGTGGTCCATTGGTATATTAGCCACCTGGCCTACCATTTCATTGGTTTTTATATAGATGTTATTTTATCTGGATAGACAAATGGTGATGGTGATGCTGTTAAATTGGAACTACCCTACTATCAAGTTTTTTTATTATAATGATGGTTTCATGTGCACTGTGCCTGCTAATTCGTTGACTAAACATTTTACTTTTTTCACGAATGTTCCTAACGTATTTCCAATTTTATTTATATTTTTTCATTCACCGAATGTGTTGGGGTTTTTCTTTAATGGCTTATGTGTTACCAAATAGTTATTTCAACATTTAATGGTTTAAGTATTTGCCAAGAATGACAAATTATTTTAAACTTTAGTTAATTAAGCACTTAGTGTCTCGGTCTGAGTATTGACCATAAATACCTCGGTGGTACCTAAGGGCTACAGTAAACATTTTACTGTTTAGATTTCTTCTGTATATAAAAATATAATGAGTCTTTACTAGTAAGTTAAGCAATCTCAAGGCCTGTATAAGGGGCAGAGAATAAATAACCTCTTCCAATCTGAGAGTTTTATCAAATAAATCCCACTGTGTCTGAAGTCTTTTATGGCTTTATTATATTTTTTTCGTTTGTTTTATGATTTATATTATGTGGTAGAATTTTATGGTTTCTATATTCTTTATGAATAATTTGATCTTGACTAATAAGTAAAGCAAGTAACAGTATATTGTGTTTCAACATCGAGTTGTTGTTTATAAATATGTGCGAATGTACACATGTTGATTAATAATTTTGTTTTTATGGTATAGTAGAATCTAAAACGGTAAAATTAATATTTTACAATATTTTGCTTAACATCTTGCAACAATCGTCCTTTGCTTGGTACCATGCCAACGACTGACCATGCCATCTATTGATGAATTTATTATTCTTTTTGGGTTTATGCATATAACATATATGAGTTAATTTGTTACTTTATCAAGATACTTAGTTTATTTATTTATGAATTCATCATAATCTGTATTTGTATTGTATTTTTAATTAGTAAATTCTTGAACAATAATTTTGAATATATTTGATGACAAACATATTAGGTTTGTTAGTTTCTTAAATAGTTTCTTTTTTTGTTTCCTCATTCACTGGGTTTATGAGGAAATAAAAAACATTGGCCATTATTGGGACCATGTTGGCGCCCTCATGTCTACTATTTCCAAAAAAATGTTTAGCTATCCACCCCCTTACTATCGTCTGAGTGACCACGAAGGCCCGACGGTTGACACCGGAACAACCGAAACTTATGTAAAGAAGTAGACAAAATTTTGTTGGTTAAGTAATTTTTTTCTATATAGGTATAGTTTAATTTTTGGGCAATTTTCCTAGTTTTGGCAACATTATTACCTACCTTTTCAGCCTACAAAAACATGTTTTAGTCTGTAATCTGTATTAAACATATATTTCATCATGAAAATATCTTTTCTAGGCAATTGTTTCAAGATTTTTTTTTCTCCTGACTATGTGTCTCCGAATAACACTGAAGCCTATTGTCTTATTGTGTTTTACCCCATGTTAGTTCATAGCACCCACTCTATCACCTTTGTACCTTGTACAAGTTTGTACAGATCCTTGGGTGAGTGGGTTCTATACGTTGTTGGATCAACCTGGGGTTGTCCAAAAAGAGCCTGTCTTTTGCGATCTAGAGCTTCGCATTCGCACAGTATGTGTTTGGCGGTTTCTGATTTCTTGTGACATAGTCGGCACATGAGTTCCCCATTGTACATGCCAATTTTGTTCAAGTGTCCCTTTACTGGGGCCCAGTCATGAACCCTGTTATCACTTTCAACTGGTTCCTATTCATTAAGAGTAGTTCTCCAGTTCTTTTGGGACATGGTCTGCCTATGAAGGCTTGTCCATGTGCCTGTTTTGGGGTGCTTCCCCAATAGTTGATATGTTGTTCCCGAATCAGTCATTTATAAAACCCTGGACTGTACTTTTTGTTACTCCTGGGTTTGTGTCTGGTTCCGGTGTTTCTTCTGACCCTCTTTTTGCAAGTTCGTCAGCCTTTTCGTTGCCTTCGATCTCTTTGTGACCTGGCACCCAAAATAGTTTTACTCTATTTCGGTCTGCCAGTGTTCTTAGTTCTTCGATGCATTCCCATACCAGCCTCGTCGTAACTTTCTGACTCGATATGGCCTTAAGTGCCGCTTGGCTGTCTGACATTATTTGAATATGCTGATTTTCGACAGCTCTTTCATTGTTCGTTTTTGCACATTGCAAAATTGCGTATACCTCGGCCTGAAATACCGAAGAATGTATTCCTATAGCATAGCTATGGTTAGTATCAGAGTTTCTGGAGAATACTCCTACCCCAGTGCCTTCCGCAGTCTTAGACCCGTCTGTATACCAAGTTTGTTCCTGTCGTTGGGCATTGGGCTCCCTTATGGTGATCTCCGCTCTTTCCTGTATTAAAATCGGAAAGGGAGTATTAAAAGAGTACCTCTTGGTTATGTGGTCTGATCTCATGTCTAGCACGCCTCCTGTCATTAACCTTGAGATACTCATGTGACCTGACCTAATGTCAAGATTTCCCAGTGTATTCCCTAATCTGTAAGCACCTAATCTTGCCTTCCCTTGTATCACATAGTGAAGAGGTGGGAGTCCTATTAGTGCTTCCATTGCAGCAGTGGTGGTTGTTTTCATTGCCCCCGTTATTCCGAGGCAGGCAAGTCTTTGTACCTTGTTTAGCCTCGTTATTGCTTTCCTTTGCTGTGTCTTTGGCCACCACACCAAAGCTGCGTATGTTATTATCGGTCTCACCACCATGTTATAAAGTCAGTATACCATGTCTGGTTTTAACTCCCATTTTTTTCCAAAGGATCATTAATGAGGTTTCCGCTCTCCTTGTGGTTCTTTCTAGATGCTGGTTTCAAGATTTTAGTAGTAATTAAATTGAATCCTACTGCTTTTTTCGGATTAAGGTTACTTGTAGTCTCTTCTGCTACTTCTTTCGGTGTACCAAAGATTTCGGATTTTTTATTGTTTGTTACGGAAGCGCAGAAGGGCCATTTTTTTAATAAATTTATTTTTCTATAAAATTCCGAGTTGTAACTCGGAATTTTGTATAATTCCGAGTTGCAACTCGGAATTTTATAAAATAATAAATTTATTTAAAAAATGGCCCTTCTACGCTTCCGTAGTTTGTTATATGCAAATTATTCTTGCATTTTATTGGTTGTAAAAATGACTAACAAATGTTTAGCAAACAAGTTTGCTTTTTGTTTATTGTTCTTGATCCATACTCCGTTGTCTCTTCTGATGAGATAGATGAAGATAATTGGTTTTTATTTCTATCTGCTATTACACAGAAAGTAATCTGTCTCTTCATCTGGTTCTATAGGTATGAGTTTGATTTTCTTTAACTTTAATAAAGTTAAGATAAACTTTTCTTGAAATAGGGAATTAAGCAGTACCAGCAATTTTGCTGGGATCCGTAAGCCAGTAAGTAAGTTAACTTGTACAATGATAATTGCATTTCTTTTGGCGTACAGTATTTCTTAATTAATTATAAATAAAAATAGTTGTAAAAACAAGTTTATTTTTTGTACCCGTTATAAATGACTGATAAAGTTACATACGAATTATTTTATGATGCTTCCTCTCAGTTCTTGGGCCACTTGAAGCTGGACATTCATGTTTTAAGACAAATTTCCTCTGTTTTACATTAGGCTAGTCATAAAATAGAAGAGATTGTTTATATAAATCAATTATGAAACGATGTACAATAATAATAATAGCTAAAATATCAAATCATCTACATTTTACAGTATCACTTTAATATCTTACTAATATGGGATTATTGTTTTAGATACTACACCACGGCAACACCTGTGTTATGTGGGAAGGTATAGAAGGTCCTCCAATTTCAGGCATCAGGGGCGTTCTTCTCTACTTACGATTAGACAGATCATCGACGACGCTGACGTGGGTGCGACCAAGTTGGAGCGGCCTTAAAGCAGGAGCTGCCAATGAAACTGGCGATCCTTTTACTACAGATTTTAATCTTTCGTTTAATCCTGAGGACACTCTTGCACCAGGTTTACTTACTAAATTAGCTCTACAGGCATCTGGAGAACAAAGTACTGGTACGACTCTAGATGATGGGTAAGTTTTTAATTTGTCACAAGATATAAGTACATTTATAATATTAGTTTTTATAAAAGGTTTAAAGTCTATTCCAATCCGAGATTCAGTAAATGTACACAAAAGCACGGGAATGTAATTTTTGACCAGGGCCGCAATGAGGACAAGATTTTATTGCAATGTAGTTTTAATGTATTTAAATTAGGAATTTTAGAGATTTAAATTTTCAATACCGTAATACCAACGAAAATTGAAAGAAAATATATTAAAAATATACAAGGTGACGCTTAGAGCGGTATTTATGAAGCCATCATACACTTTTTTCTAATTTTAAAAAAAGTTAGAACAGGTTGGAATAGAATTTTCAATTGTCGACGTGAAAAAAAAAACAAATATTTATATTGAGTGAAGATTATTGAATTTACTGTTGCCATTCTAGTTCGTCAGAAGACGTGTCACTCTCATTCACATTTATTACAAACTGTTCAATTTGTTGCTCTATAATATTGTCTCACATTTTTTGCTCCACTTTTTTCTGCACGTGATTAATGCATTTCTTCCACTTTTCTGACGTGATGGTAGCTATCGCATTATGAAAGAAGTTTTTCATGTCAGCAAATTTAAATGAACTACTATGCTCCGCAACAAAGTTTTTTATGTCAGCCCAAATTAACTCAATGGGATTAAGCTCGCAGTGATATGGTGGCAGCCTTTAAACAATTTTATTTTGAGCTTTAGCCATCTCGTCGATGATATATTTATCATATTTTTTTCTGTGCTCCTTAACTATTGCTAAAAGTTGCACTTTAAGTAATGTTTCATCAAATTGTATACTTTTAGAACGCAGCCGGTCTTGAATATCAGATTTCCTTGATGCAGTAGTTGGAATTGTTTCCAGTTTCCTAAAATGATACGGGGCATTGTCTAATACAACAATACAGTTATCATTTAGTTTCAGCAAAATATTTTCAAACCACTTTTCAATAGATTTTCCGTCCATTTCCTCGTGGTAAGCTCCGGTTTTTTTGGATTCAAGAGCCCACAGCGCCTCTGGAACAAATCCGTCATCACTTCCAATGTGGCAAACTATCAGCCTTTTTCCTTTACCTAAAATCAAAAAGCATTTTTATGCTGTAGTATATACCCAGACAAATAAACCAGCTCAAGATGTCCGCCATCTTAATAATGCCGTGCAATGAAAAGCCTGAATATCAACTGTTTTAAATGTCCCGATACAATGTTACTTTCATTTATTTTTAAAGTATTATTTAATCAGCCGGATAGATACCAAAATTGTAAAATATACATACAGGGTGGCCACTTTTTTAATGGGATTGTATTAGCAATTTCCAAACCATACTAGTTAGAAAGTCGGTTAAATGGAGAAAAAGTTGCCTATCTCTAAGCATAATCTAGCGGTGAAAATTAATCGAAAATAGCAGGCACGGTTCTTGAGATATTTCGATAAAAGGAAATTCGAACATTTTGGTTTTTTGGTTATCGTTAATTTATTTTCAGAACTACTAAAAAATATTTTAAAGGTTTTTTATTTGATAGTAAATTTTCTTTAATTTGACGTTTTCATATTTTGCATCCAACGTTTCGTATTCTCCAGACCACCATCAACTTTTTTTTTTAAATATGGGCCTGCGTATTTTATAACATTATTTGAAATATCTTTTTATCCTGCATCCAGCGTTGTATTACACAATGGCATTCACTGACAGTTTTTGGGTAATATGGACCGTAATCCAAATTTTATTGGTACGGATCATCTATATTGAATTTATAATCAGCGTTAATTTTTTCAGTGTATAATACTTCGAAGATAAAGTGATTATAATTACGAAAAAATAAATGAGAATTAATAATTATTCAATTATTCGACTATTAAAAAGTATATTTTGATAAGGTAAATGATTAAAAGATATTCTCGATTCTATTTTTGACAATACATACCTACCAAATTTGAATACAAAATATTATTTTATTACTGGCACAGCAATTACTTGTTATAAAATATAGTAGGCCGTGAAAACAATCCATATTACAAGAACTGTCACATTATTATTATGTTGTTCTTTACTGCTTTACGAAAATTTCTCATTGTTCAAAAGTTTTTTGTGTGTTTCTTGGTACCTAGTCTAACTTCAATAAGATATACTGCAGAAGAAAGACCAGATATGTACGAATTATACATCAAACTGAACAGAAATTCGTTCAGAGCAAAACAAAGGTACGAGGATTTATATCCCGACAGAATGCAACCAAATACAAAAAATTTTCGGCGTTTGTCTACAACTCTTCTCGGACATAATACATTCGATAAAGCTAGAGTTCCGTATGTTCAAAAAAAGGAGCCAGTCAACGATATTAATGTCTTAGCTAAAATTCGAATAAATCCAGGAGTTGGGTCGAGGACTATTGCAGGTGAATGTAACTTATCAAAAAGTGCTGTTAATAAGATAATCAAGAGACACGGATACCATGATTACAAATACCAAGCTGTACAAAAACTATATCGTAATGATCCTGAAAGAAGATTGCGATTTTGTAATTGATTTAAACAAAAGGTAAGAATTAATAACAACTTTGCACACAATATCATTTGGGGAGACGAAACAACATTTACAAATTCTGGTATGTTCAATCGAAGAAATAAACATTTTTATGCCACGGAAAATCCTCACCTAATCCAAGAAGTGAGACATCAATATCGTTTCTCTTTGAATATGTGGTGCGGTTTGTTAAATAATAAATTACTGGGACCATACTTTATTGACGGAAACCTTACTGCAGAAAAATATTTAGATATACTGCAGGATATGTTAGATGAGCTTCTTTTAGAGTATCGTCTTAACGAAATCTGGTTCCAACAAGATGGATGTGGTCCACACAATTCAAGAATGGTCACGGATTATTTGAATCAGACTTTTCTCAATTCATGGATTGGAACAAGAGGTCCAGTGGCGTGGCCTGCCAGATCGCCAGATCTGAATCCATTAGATTTTTATTTGTGGGGACGTCTCAAAAATAAAGTGTATAATACACCAAATGCAACAATTGAGATTCTCCGCGAAAAGATTAAAGATGCATTGGAAGATATCCAAGAAGAAGAAATAAGCAATAACATAAGAAATATGAATATCAGAATTGCTAAATGTATTGAAGAAGATGGCAGGCATTTTGAACAATTAATTTTATTGATATTTTCAAATAATTTGATTATGACTAACAAAAACTGAATTTCTTTTTGTCATTATCAATAATTGAGTTTTAAAATTTCTACATTACTATTGTTGTTGTTGATGAATTGTTTAATTTTCAAAAAATTACATAAATTTTGTAAGAATTGATTTTATTTTTTTTATCGAGGAGCATGACATGTTGATTCAACTAAAGATGGCTGAAACCAAGCGTAAATTAAATAAAATTTGGATTACGGTCAATATTACCCAAAAACCGTCATTGAATGCCATTGTGTAATACACCGCTGGATGCAGGACAAAAAGTTATTTCAAATAATGTTATAAAATATCCAGGTCTATATTTTAAAAAAATAAGTTGAGGGTGGTCTGGAGAATACGAAACGTTGGATGCAAAATATGAAAACGTCAAATCAAAGAAAATTTACTATCAAATAAAAAACCTTTAAAATATTTTTTAGTAGTTCTGAAAATAAATTAACGATAACCAAAAAACCGAAAAGATCGAATTTCCTTTTATCGAAATATCTCAAGAGCCGGGCCTGCTATTTTCGATTAATTTTCACCGCTAGATTATGCTTCGAGATAGGCAACTTTTTCTCCATTTAACCGACTTTCTAACTAGTATAGTTTGGAAATTACTAATACAATCCCATTAAAAAAGTGGCCACCCTGTATACCGAAAGTAAATAATATAATACGACTATAATTTACCTGATGGATTTTTTAATCCTGTTGAAAGTCCATCAAAAAATGCCCGTCTTGAGGAAGTGACAGAATTATCAACCCATATTTTTGATTTGGTATGTCCGGCATTTACCCAAGTCTCGTCTACAAAATAAATCTTTCTATTTTCATTCCTGTAGGATTTTATTTTTTGTAAATACTCTCTTCTCCATAGCACTATTTCATCCCTGTCTATAAGCAAGCTATTTCTTCCTCGTTTTTGATATTTGAAATTTAATGTTTTCAATAATCTATACAATGCAGTGCGTTTAAAACTTGGCAGGTCCAGAGCGTCATTGATGTCTCTAAGTTCCTTATCAATAGTAGGGAGTTCGTTTTAAAAAAAATATTGATACACTATTCCTCTGATTGCATTTCTACCAAAGTCATCTACAAAATCTACAATTTTTTTACGATTTTGGTTGGTTTTTGGCGCCGAAAATGTATGGTTAGTGGTACATTCTTTGATAATTTTGTAGACGCTGCGACCACACACTTCTGTTTTACTTGCCACTTTGTTTACAATTTCATCTTTAAGTAATGTTGGATTTTCTTGAGTCTCATGCTTATAAACGTTTAAAATCATTTCCTTGCTTTTTATGTCGAAATGAGACTTTGCCTAGGAGGAGACAAATACATTTCTATAGACTCATCAGCTGTATCCGTGCTAGACATGTTCAAGGGTCCTGGATATTTTATTTAATATACCAAACAAGTATTTAAACAATACACAAAAAGTTTCGGGAAATGCCCGAGGAGGAAACACACTGTTATTTAATATACTTCGAGAGTATTTAAATAAAACACAATATTCAAACTACAAGGTAAAGGTATTTAAAAAGATTCAATTCAAACAACACATTTAACGACGATGCACTTCGCACTAAATCTGAGTACACATCTGCATCTGCATCAAAACAGTAAAGAGCTGGAGTGCGTTTAGAAACCTTGCACGGCGCGTCTAGACCCTATTCTAATGTATGTGATCAGACGCGTCGTGTGAGGTTTCTAAACGCACTCCAACTCTAGCAGTTTATGGCCGTTTGACCAATAGCATTGCAGATTCCAGCAAGCCACGAGGCGATCACG